ATTATGCAGGCCAGCCACTGAAGGATTAAGAATTTCAAATGAGGAAGGATGTGAAGAAATACTCCCCGGTCCTTTTGCGGCAATAACCATCAGCACGAAGCCAGCGCCGACAGCAGCCAGCGTCGCCGTGGTGCTGCTCTGCGCTGCGCTTACCTCACCTCAGCAGGCTGAGGGGAGATGGCTGGCAGTGAGGTGTTGCTAAGCAACGGGACGTGGCATGGCGGCCCACTCCCTGCCGGGCCACCTGATGGATTTGGAGGTAGCAAGGGCTACAAGGGGCTGCCAGAGATGGCAGCTGCCCTGTGGATGCCCGTGATGCACGCTGTGCGGACTGAGGGCAGGCGGCTCCGAGGGACTGGGTCAGACCTGCCTGCAGGGATGCTGAGACCTTCCACTCTCCCTGCAGGCTCTGGGTAAGGCTGGAAAGGAGCACAGCTTGTTATGTGCCTCCAAAGCACAGCTGATTTCCACAAAGGTGAAATTAAACGTCCTGACGTGAGCACGGCTGAAGAGAATCCCTGGAGCTGAAGTCGTGCTCTAATTAAAATAGATCTTCCTCCAAAGTAAAAGAGCGAGTACCAAGTATTGTCACAGACCTACTAGGCGTTGTGAGGGAGACGAGAGACGTACAACCGACGTGTCCTCAAATCTCTTGCTGAAGCTCCTTTAATCCCCTGCATTCCACATATCAGAGCTATCGCGCCGGCCTGGGATCTGCTTCCAATTGGTCAATAGCAACAGGAAAGTCTTTAAACCTCCTTTTGATCCAGACATAAGTCACGTAAGATCTGCATCTCGCAGACCAGCCCTCAATTCTCCCAAGACTGCCTGCTGTAATCCGGAGATGCCGTACACAGAACCAGCAGGGCTGTGTGCTACAGGAAGCCTTCTCGTGTCTGGAAACACCGCTGACTCTCAGCTCCCATCACTTATTAATGAGTTATTATTATTCATTGTTGAAATGCTGCCAATTTGTATTATACAGGCAGTCAGGCAAGATGATCGTATTGGGCCTCGGCAGCTTTAGTCTGTGAATGAGCCGCTGAACGTGCGCCACGCTGATTTCCATAGGGTGCAGAATCTAGGAGAGCTGCTTCTAATCTTCAGGCATCATCGCATGTGCTGACAAAAGAGATGTGGCTTTGCCTAAGTCTCCCCTCAAACATCATGTGAACGCGAGCCCCTTAATGCCAGCCCGTCTCCAGGCTGGTAGCTTTTGCAGCACACAGCAAGTATTGCAAGAGGGAAGTCAAAGGAAAAAAGGTGAAATAGCTTCATGTCGTGCATTTCTTCCTGTACTGTCGAATGCAAGAGGCCGGCTGAGCCTCTTTCCAGGAGATGTACTGCATGTTCTGGAAACTTTTGGGTTGGGAGGAGCACGACCGAGACATGGGAGGTGGTGAATGTAAGTACCCCCTGATCACCACGTACACACAGCCTTTACACCTTAGAGCAGATGTGCTTGTGCACACCATTTTCCTGCAAGCCTTCTGACAGTCTCTCCCAAGCCACTGCAGTGCACTCGGAGCTGAGATCGGGTGAAGACATTTTAATGGGGGGAAAAAAACATCATTTTCACAAAAAACAACCCCACACCTTCCTCCCTCACACGAAGTTACTTTGCACAATCTAGACTCCTATTCTTGCTGCTATTTTGAAAAAGCCTGGTATGATCACAATGGGATGTATTGCAAGATCGGCACGGTTTATTTTTCATAAACATGTGTGAAATCATATCATGCTCTAAGCCAATCCAAAATTGCGTATGTTCTTGTGATATCCAAAGGAAAGAAAAAAGAAAAAAAAGAAAAAAGTAATGATACCTACCCAAAGGCTTCAAAGAAATCCAAGAGGCCTGTGGGCATGCAAGAATTTATGTGCATATAGCAACGCGCATTAGCACTGATGGGACTTACAGCACATCAATCTTTTGTACGCCCAGACGGGAACGCCGTGAACCAATTATTCCCTGACTTATATACAATATTGATGCAGGTGACAAAAGGCTGCAGAAGGTACAGCTTGGGGAAGAATCGGAACCTTCGGCTACTACTTTATTTAATCCTTTTAAATCTGCTCTGCCACAACCACCAAAAATAGTCTGGTCTCACTGAGCTGACATCCTCAGGAAGGGGTGGAAACTGAGGATCTGTTTCTCCCTTTGGTATAGCCTGGGCAAACCAGAGGACTCTGGGCAGCCAGGCCTTCAAATGGATCGCCTATCCCTTCTCTGAGGGCCCACACAAAGTATACGTATGACAGTAGCATTAGCAGCGTTTGAAGAAACAAAGATTTTGCTTTCCTCTTTCATCTGTTCTAAAGTTCTGATGATTTTGAAGTCTGATTATGGCTCAGTGCCACGCAGGCCCACGTTCTTTGTTAAATGTTGTTTTAGGGTACAGTAAATTAATTAACTACAGAGCTCACTGACTGCTGCAGCAAAACTGCTTTTGACTCATGGGCCAGCCTCATACATTGTAATAGAGTTGATTTACCCTATAAGCATTTCGAGTGAAGTATGTGAGAGTTCAGATATGCTCTCCCTTCCAGAAGCCTCTCCATCCTTCACAGCCTGCCTCCACGAGGTGTTTAAATATAAAAGATGTTGCTCCACCAGTTGAGACCGGCCTTTACAGCTAGGACTGAATCCTGCCCTTCGCAAAGCTCTTTTCAGCTCTTTAAGAGACAAAAACCAAGCAGCTTTGTCAGTGTAAGTCCATTAAAAGAGCTTATTTGATCTGTCTGTTTTCATGCTCAAAATGCCTTTGGTCTCACTACCCCAACCATCTGCTCTCTTGTGACAGCAGCTCTGCCACCCTGCTGGGATCTGCCTTTGCTGCTGAGAAGTGGCAGCTTCTCTGCAGGAAGAAGAGCCGGCCTCCTTGGGAAGGTCTGCCAGGGAAGCACGGGTCAGCAAGACACCAGGAGTGTGCCAGAAATCCTGTGGCTACGTGGATCTCCGGCTCCAATATTGAGCTGCCATTGTTCCAATATTGAACGTGCCACATTGAAACTTGCCACTCTTTTCCCTGCCCTGTGCCTTGGTATGCACTGCTCCGGATTATATTGGCAACGGAGAACTATCGCTGACTTGCCCTGCAGAGCACAAAGGGAAAGCGTGGCGTGGAAGTGGAATACTGATGGTAGTGAAATACCACCAAAGTCTGCTAAGACACCACCAGTATCTCTGACCTCACATGATGTTTCACTGTTCAGAGCCTCTCTTTTCACTATTTGGCTGTGGACGGCCAGAAAAAACACATGCACTTACAGCAGCAGAGATAAGCCAGGTACATATAAAATAGAAACAAGTGGAGGAAATACAAAATCAAACTGCGTTCCTCAAGAGCTGAGAGATCAACCACAGACAAGCTGCCGTAAGGTCCCAGCAAAACTGGAGAAACCTTTCAGTTGATCCCGGCATCAACTCATTGATTAGGACTTAGACACATCATAAAAGCTCTACGCATTTGAGGTGCTACTGTACTTACACAATCAGAAATAAACCTATCCTAAAAGCCTTGTTTTGTGTAGGATCTGATTTTCTATTACTGGGTAACATGGTAACCAGGAGGGAGCGTAACTCTAGTTTCAATTGTCTGTGGACTACAGGCAGCCAAAAGCAATACAGATCTATAGGCAGCTGCGAACCTCTTGCTATCGGCGCAATGAGAACGCTGTTTTAAAAGCACCCCAGCTCAGCCGTAATGGCCACGTAAGATAAGAACACTGGGGGTTTAACCTCATAGCCCAAACTGTATCGCTGCCTACCTTCTGGTCAAACTGCAGCGGAACTTCATATGTCTGCTCTCCTTTAGAAAGTCACATACTTGGAACGAAGTCGGAAAGAAAGCACAACCTCAGCCTCAGCCAGCCTCACAACGGTCAGCTCTTATGGGCTGAACTTTTTTTAGGCTGATCCTCCAGACTTCTCGGTGACCAGCTCCGTGCCTCAATTTTCCATCACTCCCCTATATGGGCAGGGTGACGGGGCTTTAAAACCTTCTCAGCTGACCAGAAACACAGAGAAACCGTCTTGTCAGAAAGCCAACCCCAAACTACCACAGGAACAGTAGCTGAAGTGCATGAATCGGCAATTAAGAGTTACTAAGTTCAAACATCCAACTGCTGTTATTAAGCATATCTTCTGTTCTAATCTTTAAAAAGAACAACGTGCTGAATTAACGCACAAGAAATCAAATTTGGCACGCTAAGGTAGCTGATGTAAAGGCGCTGTTGCCTGAGCCATTGCAATTAGCCTGATGGACTGAAGCCAACAAAATACCCCCCTCGATGTCAGTCAGAAACAAAGCAGATGGGTGATCCTGGAGTCACAAGAAACACGACGCTGGTTTTGTTCTGGTTCTGGGATCGCAGAGGCAAACAACACCGAGCTCCCCGATGGTTAAAGCTAGCTGGCAAAAAAGCCTTGAGAGGATCTCTCCTAATCTTAGGCCGAGGCGTAAACTATGGGAAATGCACAACAGATGGTAAAATGAGAAGTTTTTCTTTCTTTCTCAGTTGTTTTACCCTTCGAATTACCCCAAACAACTCCTCGTGGCATGCAAGCTATTTGAGGTTGAGAGGCTTCGCGTCATCTCTAACAGCCTTAAGTTGTACCCGTTGGGCAAAACCCAGAAATCAAGCACAGGGCCAGGACAAAGCCAGCTCCCCTCCCCACCTGCTGCACCTGCTGCTTTCTTTAGAGCGGCACTACCCCACAGGCCCGTGCAAGCGGCGAACAAAAAGTCTTCACCCCCAAAGAGATTACAGCTTGAAGGCTAAGACATAAAAGAACAGCTGAATGCACAGAGGCAGGCAGGGCTGGTTTTGTTCTCTCTGTGTTTTCACACAGGCAAAGGCAGGCAGAGCTGGCTGACTGCATTTGAACTTTTCGTGAGCAAAAAAACCGGCTGTAACTTCGCACTCGTTTCAGAAAGGCAGACATTTTTCATCCCAAGGCAGCCCTTTGTCGCAATACTGGAAAACCCTGCAGTTCCCCCACCCACCGAGTTCCTTATTGCTCTCTAGAGCTCCCTGCCCCACTTGCACACTGCACACACTGGGAGCTGCCGGGAACATGGCTGGTGACTTAGCTCTGCTCGCTGTCGTGTCTCTGCTTTCTGCCCTCCAGCAAGGTAGTTCCCCAGGGGCTGGGAGGCTGGGGTTCGGGGAGGTTTCCTCCTGTTCTGCAGCACTGGAAATTATTTTAGAACCAACTGGCTGCCCTGTAACTTTAACTTCTTGTGACTGATTAGACTTCTCCCGGAAGAGCACTGTTTGCCCACTGTGCAGCAGCCCGGGAGGGAGCTGGCAAGGTGGGACAGGCTACTTTTCCTTCTAGGAGAAACGCGTTTCTTTTCAATTCTGTTTGGTTTGCGGGCTTGCTGGAATCACGCTATTGTGAGAGCCTGCAGCTATCTGTGAAGTTACCTAACAGCCGCGCCATGTTTTGGTTTCGATTCTTATTTATGCAGCTACTCAACTGAAAACCTCAAAAAGGGAGAGTTGCTTTGTCAGATCGAGTACATCAATGCCGGACTGAAAGCACTGCTTCCTGAAATAGACAGACACGTGCTTCAGCATCTGAAAGGAAAGAGGAAAGTGAACCTTTATACCAGGCAGCAATAATAGAGATATTCTGCAGCATGTCCCCCTCAGTGCATTTCTCTAAGATATGCAAAATACCTTAAATATCTAAAATATGCACTTCACGGCTGCTGGCACACTGCAGAGAACCAAAGAGGTGGGCCGGTCTGTGACATCCCTTCTGCTGTGCTTGCTGTGGTTCCGTTGGTGACTGTGGGAGCATTTTTAGTGCTTGTAATGATTTGCTTTGAGATACGCTGTAGTTGTGCTTGACACAGGAGTGCGAAGGGTTAAAGCCAAACCAAAGCACATTAACCAGAAGCCTTGTGCCTTTGGAAAACTCCACAAATTGTTTAGACCTTGAAAGGGGGAAGAGGAAATACATACCTTCTTCCTTGTGGTGGTGAATCCGTATTAGCTAAACCCGGTTAAAATCACCAGCGGGTCAGGATAACTCCAGCCCAAGCTGAGCTGTTCATTTGATGTAAAACATTGCAGCTCGGTTTACTCCCAGCACGTGCTGCAGTACAGGTGAACCAACACAGATGAACTGCTGTGAGTCCAGCTGAGCGCCGTGTTGCCTGACCTCAACGTGGTGGTAGGGCTGAGGTAGGGCTGCGGCAGCACCGCTGCTGTAGGCCTGGGCTGTGCGGGTCGAGGACTCGGCTATTCGGTTCCTAAATAGTGTCAGTGAATAGTGAAAGGGGAAAAATACATTTCTGAAACAGCAGTTTTGCAATTTTCTCCCCTTTCTCAAGAATAAGCCGCACTTGAAGGTGTGACCTGAACTTCTGCAGGGAAAAAAACAGTTTTAGCTAGTAGCCGTCTGATTAAAAAAGCCAAAGGACAATGATTGCTTTAAAAAATAAATAAAAAAATGTGTTAGAGACTCAACTGAACCGTTCTTCCTAAATGAGAAGAACCGTGCAATCCACAAGCCCTTATTTTTGCTTACAGCTCGTTTTGCTCGGCTGGTGGGAAAATCAAGAATGAAGCACAAGGTCTTGCCCCCGGCTGTCACTGGAGCTCCAGAATTTGAAAGAACATTTCGTGCACAGTAAGTCCTGACACCACGGAGATGGTGGCAATGAATAACAATTCAATCTGGAAGAGAAGCGAAAACATTACCTTCAGATATTACATTTGTAATTGCATCCTCTGCTCAGAAAAAAATGAAAAAAGAATGAAAAGAATGCTTTTCAAATGGTGAGGATATTATTTTATGACAATGGGGTACGTCCAGCTAATTTAAAAGTCCCCATTTGAATTCTGATAAAGATGGGCCATCAGATCCCCCAATCCTCAGCAAAGGCTCAGAACTGGTTGGCAGCACCTTACAGAACTCAGTGTGCTGGCATGAAAACTGACGATGCTGACGAAGACATTACGGTCCTAATCGTAAGAAAATCCATAGCGTGCTGCTTGTGCCTGGCTGCACTTTGTAAAGGCACTTGGCCTCAGCGGAGCAACCTGGACTGCCTGCATGTGGTTCTGTGCCTCCTCCTGCAGTCCTGAAGGATCTGGCTGAAGTCCTGCTGACCCACAAAACGCGCTCGCTGAGCAGGCAGATAAGCAGTCAACACCATATCTTTGTGCTTGAACTCCTGCCTGCTCCTGCTGTACTGCTCCCTTGAGTTAAGATAATGGTTAAGCACTTCCTTGTAGGTGGGATACAAAACCTTAAATACGAGGAGACATTTGAAATCGGTTGTATTTATACTGAGATTACAAGAAGGGGATGTTTAAGAGCACCTAAGGCTGGCTTGAGCATGCTCCCGCTGAATTCAAGAGCATTAACTTTGGTGGGAACAAAGTGAGGCCAAAGCTGATTCTCCTTAAAAAAATCTCTCTCACCCATGGTCCTTTCCCTTTCCAGAATAACTTCATGTCAAATTTATCCCACAGACAAAACTGCGCAGAGTTTTACCCCATATTCCAGACTCTCCTCTGGATCGCAGGATGGTTTTGCAATCAAGGTAAGGAGTTCTTGCTACCTATGGGACTGCAAAGACGTAAAAATCAGCTTTATTGGGAGGTAGAATTATGCAGGCCTCCTTTTGCCTTCCCTTCATTGCGTTGCCTTACCCTAGTCATCCTGAAGGAAGGCTCGAAGGCTCTGCAGTGAAGCGCCATGACAAAACAGTCACGGCATTTCACACAGCCCCACCAGCTTTCGCTTTTCTTGCACATCACAGAGCAGCGACATGGCACACTCCTCATTCACAGAAAACCCACTGAGGATTTTCCGGGCAGAAAAGGCAACTCCCAGATGTTTCCCACTAACAATTACATGCGCATTATAGGGCAGTTCTCACAGGACATCAAACACAGCTATGGTCCCTTGTTCATTCGGGGACATGGCGCTAAGCACCGAAGAGCAGTCAGCACACAACATCTCCAGCCACGCATGGTTACTGTCCCTCAGGTATGTGGGCAGACTTGTTAAAATCTGTTGTGTTTCTCACATACCTACGCAGGCTGGCATTTTGGCATTAAAAAAAAAAAAACAACCAAAAACCAAAAAACAAACATTTCATTCTGGGGCTCCCTTACAGACAGATTCCCATCTCCATTACACTGAGATGAATCCGGAGCAGCTCCACTGCTGCTGGATGTCAGATGGTTCGTGTGCTCCTAAGCAGATATTTGAGTCAGGGAAGATGCATGCTGTCATATATAAGGGGAGAACTACTTTAACTCCACTTTAAGTCACTTTTACAGCAACTCCCACAGGCGTGTATGCAGGAATTAATCCAGAGCAGAGAAAAAGCTGTCCTCCCTAATATTTGTGCGGTTGGAAAGGACACCAAATTCACTGGCACTGCTTAGTGCTGGGCAATGCAAGTGGCCGCACAGCCTGCTCCATCCATCAGAATTATCTTCATGCTTTTCCCACAGGGAGATCGGAAAGTTGACGTGCACTACAGCTTTCTCTCCTGTCCTTGGATAAAAGCTGCTATATAAATGCAAAGCAGGTTACTAACAACATAAATAAGATTCTCTTTCCTAAAACAAACATTGCCCTTGAACACGAACTGCCGTAATGATACCAAGTGACAGCTGGGTCAAGCCAAAGTGCTGCAGCCCATTGCCCAGTTCCTGGGACAGCCCCCAGATAACTAAAACGACTGTCTGCAACTGCCCTCACGTTTCCCATTACTTGTTTCTTAGAACTAGCCTCCTTGCTGGGCCTGCTGTACATGTACGCTCGCCACAAGTACTTCCACGGCTATGCGGAGTCTGCATCAAAAAGGTAAGGAGCTGCGTGCAGGTTACAGACCCCAGCTGTAGCCTGAGCTGGGCTGGGAGCCAAGGCCTGGCAATTGAGTGCAACGTGTACAGCGTGCCAGCAAGAGAGCTGAAGCAAAGGTCCTGGGGGAGGAGGGCTGGCTGTGACAGGGGAGCCTTGGGGTAAGGTGTGCACGCGCTGCAGGTGATGGGAGGAAAGGTTTGATGCCCACCTCACAGGGGCCTGCTTTGTGCCGAGCGGACGGGCAACCGCACTCAGAGGGCCAAAGGCAGAAGCAGCTCTGCAGCTTCTTGTGAAGCAGGCAAGGCACACACAGCACCGGCTTGTCTGCTGCTTCATTTTTCCTCAGCTTATCACAACAAGAACCTTTACCCATACAAAGTGCACTCGCAGAAGCAAACGCATCTGTCCTTGTAGGCTGATAAACTTTGACCAAATAGATAAGAGGCACAGCTTCAGATAAGTGTATGTTAATGAATGTAAATGCATTGCATGTAGCGACATGAATCCTGCTACAACAAACACACGCATCAGCAGAACACCCCTCTGGTGTGCAGGCACACTCCAACACGCCGCTTCTTGTTTTGCTGAAGGCACAGCACTACCTGCTGTTTCCTGACCCAGGGCTCCCACTAAGAGATGCAGTGGCCCAAACGATACAGAGAGCACTGACCAGAAGACTGGTGACTATTAAGGAAGTCTAGGGAGCAGAGCCTTCGAAACAAATGAACAAGGAGAGCACAGCACACTTTCATTCAACAAACTAAAAAACAAACAAAAAAGAACCAAAACCAAATCTTTCCCATGCTTTACTTCAGCACTCTGGGCTTAAAAAATCACCCTTACAAGGATGCCCAAGGATAGCAGCTTGCTTCGTTATCAGACAGAGCCTTATCCCCTCGTGCAACTGAAACTGAGGAGGTCTTACACTCACCGTTTTTAAACCCTTGTTTTGCACACCCCATATGGGGAGGCTGTATGTATCAAGCCTCTAGGCACCAGTGAGGTTCTCAGGCTCCACAGGCAGCTGCTGAATACCCAACCATTGCACTTCTGTAGGCATGGGCAATAATGGACTATAAACCCAAGTCCAGCAAGCTCCTCAGATATCTTTCCAGTGCTTATGCAACGGCCTGTCCTCACTCGCTCTGCCTGCAGAAATCAATCCTCCAGCAACTCCCAGTATCTGCCTACCTGACCAGAGTCCGCTCCAAGGCAGCCAAGAGCAAAGAAGAGTGCATGCTGTTATTGTGTGCCAGCCACACGCTGCGCTTCAGGGCTGAAGAGCTCTCCAAGCACTCCCTGAGATTTCTACTTTAAAATCACAGAATGGCTCGGGTTGGGAGGGATCTCAAGGAATGTGTGTGGGTCTGGCAAAGGTCAAGTCAGGACCCTGAACTTTGGGAGAGCAAAATTCAGGCTGCTTAAGGAACTGTTGGATGAGATCTCCTGGGAAGCTGTCCTTAGAGACAAAGGAGTGAAAGAAAGCTGGCCGCTCTTTAAAGATGCCTTTCTGAGAGTGCAAAAGCTCTCCATCCCCCACAATAAGACAGCAGTCAGGGGAGGGAGGAAGCCCACATGGCTTGGCAGGGACCTGCTGTAAGAGACCGTACCAGCTGTGGAAACAAGGGCATGTCACCTGGGGAAAATACAGGGATGCTGTCTGGACCTGCGGAGAGGGGATTAGGAAAGCCACGGTGCGGATGAAACTGAAGCTGGTGAGAGACGTTAAAAATAGCAAGAAAGGGATTCTATGGATACGATGGCCAGATCAGGCAGGCGAAAGAGAGCTTATCTCCTTTGGTAAATGAGAAAGGAGAACTGGCTATGACAGATACGGAGAAGGCTGCGGTACTCAATGAGGGGTGTTGGAACTTGATGATCCTTGGGGTCCCTTCCATCCCAGGCCATTCTGTGATTCTATGACCTCAAAGCCCATCCAGCTTCAAACCCCTTCCATGGGCAGGGCTGCCACCCCCAAATCAGGCTGCCCAGGACGCCATCCAACTCGGCCTTAAGCATCTCCATAGATGGGGCACACCCAGCTTCTCTGGGCAGCCTGTTTCAGCACCTCACCATCCCCACATGCCAACTATACACTAGATGGAGTCTCATAAGGGCAAAGAGATGGACATTCACCTCCCTTGATGTGCTGTCCATGCTTAATAACATTATTTTTGAAAAAAGTATTCTGATCCTCTCCCAGCACGAACGAGTGCCCTGATAGGTGAGTTTTAGGAATATATTGTTCCTTTTCAGTCCGGTAACACGGGACTCTCTTCAAGTCAAAGTAATAACCAAAAGCAGACCTCCCAGCTCAGCAGAGAGTATCTGACAAAGATGCCTCCTTGGGATGAAGTAGTTCACATCAGAAAAAGTTCTCAAATTCACGTAAGTATCAAGGAACACTGGGGGAAGTGTGTTCCTCTAGAAGGCCATTAGGAATCACTTTCCTCCCTAGCACACGTGACATGCGGGAATGGTTCTACTGCCGAAACACCCGAGGTGTTGTTCCGACAGTGATCCTTTCCACCGAGCACGGCTCCTCTTAACTGAGGTAGACAGGCAGCTGGTTTCACTGCAAACACACCGTGTACAGCTCGTAACAGCTTTTTTTCTGCTTCCTACTTCTAGGTTAACGGGTTTTTTTTTGAGTCTGATAGTTCTGGCTTGCTTGGCAATCCTTGGTGCAGCTGGGATCGTTAACAGCTTTACGGATGAATACCTGGGCTTCAACATTGGGAAGAAATTACATAAATTGTTCTGAGTACTTTAAAACAAAATAAAACCCCCAAGTAAATAAAACCCACAAGCTCTCCCTGGACACCAAGATGATGATAAGTTGTATGTAAATGAGGAATCAGAATTCTCCATTAGCATTCCACTGCAACATTAAACGTTGTGCTTTTTCTGAGCTGTTTACACTTGCTCCTTTCCCTGTGCTCCTGAAAAGAATTTGCTAAGACAGAACGGTGCATCGCATTGGCGTTCTCCATTTACACGGTCTGTCTTCCTATGCAGTACTGCAAACTCAAAACAAATCGCAAAAACCCAAAACCCATTAATTCACCAAGTAACTCGGCTCCAACTGACACTGCAAGCAACAGCCCGCCTTACCAGCATCCTCTGGCTTTGTCGATGCCTCTGAAGCCTTCCTTCACTCTTCTTCACTCCCGGCAGCAGCAGCCATCCTGCACGACGGGGCGCTCTAATGCTCTGGAACTACAGAGAAGTGAAGACCATGACCGACTGTTTTGGTAGATCGTGATAATTCAAAGGACTTTGGCAATGCTGGATGCATTCACGCTACAGCCAGCAGGCAGAAGTTCTCTCTGCTGTGCCTGGTGCACAGTTCCACCAAACTGCATGTTGATAGTTCTGCTCAGTCAAGTCTACATAATGAACACTTACTGTCTTCCTAGAAGTCCACTCGGGTTGGCAACCTGAGTACTAGTGAGCATTGGCTTGGGTTCATCGGCACCTTTCACACAAAAAAGGGGGATGCAGTGCATGTGCAGAAGTTTGGCCCTCCCAGATGCTGTAATGTGACTTAAAGGCATACCTTAGTGGCTGCAAGTGGTGACAGGGGATGGGGCAGTTGAAATAATAAAACAAAGTGTGTACACAGGGGTGGGACTTGAGGGCAACAGCAGCTGCTGAGCTCAGAGGACAGATCACGGGGGTGAGCAGGCAAGAGCTGACACAGTGGTAGAAAAGGCAATTCTCTGGCACGTGGTTCCAGGGAAAAAGCAGAACAGAGACAACAGCCACAGAAGTCACTGGGAATTCTTCCACAGCTTCCCTCTGACAGGCAAAAGGACAGCGAATCTACCTGCCAGTGATGCCTTGAGGCAGTCGCGGGCAGCAAGGAAAAGAAGGCAGGTGTCTCAATCACACATCAGGCTTGAAACACGTAATAGAGGAGACCCAAAGGCTGCTAGTAGTGTTCATGTAGGTCCTTGCTTCTGAAATTATTCTGCACTAAGCTCACCTGTTGAAATGCATTGGCATGCTTATGGATAGCTACCCTTTCCCCTCTACCCCAGGGGAAGGAAGAGGCAACACAGGGACAGATACATGCGCCAAGAAAGGTGGATGTAAGGCTGCCAAGTGCCACATAGTAGCACAAGCTGTAATACTGTGGGATACATGAGGCCTCAGCTGCTCAGAGCTGCATTTACCTTAGCACCGGACTGACATGAGGAGAAGAGGGCGACTCACCTTAAGGTCTGTACTTGGACCAAGCCAGACCGGCAGCTCAAACACACAGGGCTTCTGTAAGCTGCACTAGCTTGAAGCACCCAGTGTGTGCTTCACTATGACTCCGCTGGGGGGGGAACAGGAGAGAGACGTGCCAAGCCTTGAAAGCTGCACAACATGCTTGTCTTACACAGGTCATGTAAATACAACAAGCCCGTACGCACTTACCAAAGGGTTTCTGACCACAAAACCTCACAGTGGAGCAGCAGGTTGGGGAGCTGCTGTGAACACGCCTTTCCCTCGCTTCCCCAACTCATCTGTCTACCTCCTACATCCAACCCCACGTCTCTCTCCTTCCCTCCCATTTCACCTCTCCAGAGCACAGCTGCAGCACTCCAACACCTTTCACCCCGTGTCTCCCCAAAAGCATTTCCTTCCTGCACGCAGCAGTCACTGAGACCGAGAGATGCTGCCTCTGGCGGTGGCATAATGAAGGATCAGCTCACCTGTAGCAACCGCTCCAGTACAGAGTACAAGAAACCTTGTCTCACAACACCTGGAAGTAAGCAGAGCCTTCCTTGCTCTTATGAAAGGGACAGAAGGGCCTCAGAGCAATAGCACACAGCTGAGCTGCCGGCCCCAGCAGCTCACTGCACTCACCTGCGCTTGCTGCCCGCCTGGTAACCGACATCTGGGGCAGCGTCACAGGAGCGCCGCAGGAGCAGAGGGCTGAGAGGTGATCTCACAGACCAGCCTTGCATATGACTCAGATAACCATCTTTTATTTTATTCGTTTGCTTGGTGTTTCTTTTTTTTTTTTTCTTTTCTTTTTTTCTTTAAAAGTGGTATGTTAACATCAGCTTTTTTTTCTACATTTTCAGAGCTCTGTACAGGTCTTAAAAGGAAATAAGCAATGCTTAATGTACAAAGTAAAAACAGAAAACTAGAAAAATCTGAATAAAATGGAGCAAGTTGCCATCAGGGATACAGTACAAATTAGTAATCAGACATCATCTGAAGTGCAATACCACTGCAGGAAGGATGAGTTAAGGAATGAAATAAAAATACTCTATTTTAAACAAACAGTATATATATATATTTTTATATGTATATATTTTACAGATAGTAGACCCAGTGATATCTGTAGAATTGTAAAAACATATTTACAAATAACTTTTTTTTTTTTTTTTTTTTTTTTTTTAATATTACATATACATCAGCACCATAGTAAGGAGGAGAAAAAAAAAAAAAAAACCAACCAAAAAACCTCAAATCTATTAAAATCTACGTCTAGTACTTGGTCCCAGTACGGAGTATTTGGAGGAAGCTTTGCAAAGACAACAGCTCGCTGCTGGCCACCGTCCACACGCAGAGCTGCTCTTCCCAGTGGCCCGCCTGTGCCCCCACGCTGCTCCCTTGCCCCTGTCCCTCAGGGGGCTGCCACTGTGGGCTGTCCCTTCCCTCACGCTCGTCCCCACAAGAGTCGTCTGCCCGCGGCGTGGCTGTGGGCTGAGAACTTTGGCTGCTGCTCTCGCTCGCTGCGCTGGGGCCTGACCCGGCTCCTGCTGCAGTAGCGGACAGGCAAACCTCTGCCATCCTTGGCAGCGACCGGAATGAGACCTCGTGCTGTGCTTCAGAATGGGGTAAGCGTGACCCACCCCAGTGGGCAGCTCTCAGCTGAGGCAGGTTTTGGAGGGCAGCTCTCCTTGGCTCGGGCCCCGGCTGCATCAGGCAATCAGAATGGCCAGCGTCTCTGTGGAAGACGGATCACCCCTTCACTGCAGTGCTCTCGGCACCGGTCCACACAGTGGAAATAGACAGTGGAGACGGTGATACGTCACTGTTACCTAAAAGCATATTTAGGCAGACTCGATGTTTTTGATGCCTAAATCCGCTATTTTAGCCATTCATTCATGCTGTTCACTGTAGTCCTTCCTTGGCTCCCACTTTTCAAATACTGCAGTGAATGTTATTCCAGCAAACAAAGGAGGTTAGACCACCGCTTGCTTAAAACAGAAGACCAGGTGGCACTAAATGTCAGGTTGAGAGCCCATGCACACCAACCTGCTGAGCCTGCGTTTTGCAATATGAGAGGAGGAACTCGTTCCTGCTTGCCAGACCCTCCCCGCACATCTTCTCCTTCCTGCCTTCTGATCTCCTTCCTGCCCCTTTGTGAAGAAAAGCGCAGTGACTTTAGTTTCTTTTACACTGACAGATGGGAGGGGGATGTATGAAAACATACCGGGGAGGGAGGAGAGACAGGGACCTCCTTAGGACTTTCGCTGGTGTCCCCTCGTGCCTTCGCATCTCTCTCAGCTCTGTTCTGCAACCCGGGCACGCAAAGTGCTCTGACAGGGAAGCACTACTGCAAGTCCCTTGGGGACTAAATAGCTCCTTACACAACCCACTCCCTAAAGCCATCTCCAGCAGTGATCCAGTAATCACACTGTCCTCACTGCGCAACCACATTCACGTTCTGTTACACTCCTACTGGATTTTTATCACTCTGCAGTGAAAATGGTGACCCCTCTGTGACTGTTTAGGTTTGTCACATGTACGCCCCTTGCAGCAGTCCAGAGCCTGGCCACGGTTCGCCGAGGCCTGCCGACACCAAGGCTGGTTGTGCGTGGTCATCGGTGGGCTTCTTCGGGCTTCCATCTGCTACCCTGAAAGCCGCGGCCTTCGCAGTTACGTGAGGTGGGACACATCGGGGCTAGCCCATACTGCTGTGCAAGGAAACCTCATTTCAGCAGAGAAAGACCACCCTGTTCCCTTTCAGAGGCATCAGCTGGCTTTTCCAGTTTCCCCATCCTGCCCTGCACCCACGCAGCAGGTGCTGCCACGCAGTGGAGACTGCCTGTGGAAGTCTTGTGATACCAATGTTCTCAGCATCACCCGAACCTTCCCAAGTTGGCTACAGATCAGCTCGATTTGCACGATTAAATACAAAAGAAAACAAACGAAAGAACCCAAACCAATTCAAACAAAAAACCCCAACGATCCGAGGATGGGGAGCGCATCCAACCCTCTCTTTGATTTCTTCAAACGGAACAACCCAAACTCCAGACTATACAAGCCCATTCACTGGGGGTTTCCGAACAACTCATCGAGTTCTTGTATCCACTCATCCCCTGGTCCGCTCTTGACGATGGAGTCCACGAGGTCTGCGCCCTCTGCTAAACTGGAGAACGAGCCCCCAGCTCCTTCGTTACTGTAGCTGTAAGATATGTCCTGAGTGGGATTCCTCTCATAGGCCTGGCCTTGGCTGCTCGGAGCAAAGCTACCACCTGGCATCTGCTGCGCGGAAGGCTGGCTAAAACCAGACATGGTGGGGACCCCCTGGCTTATTGCAGGCATCACCATCGGCCTGGCCTGGCTGGTTCCCTGCTGCCCGGGCAGCGGCTGCAGCAACTGTCTCCCCATTGCCGGGTTCAGGGCTCTCACTGTTCCGCTCGTGTCCACAACTGTCTGGTTGAGTCCCTGTGGGAAATGCTGCTTGGGCAGCCGAGGCTGCCCAGACTGCATTGGATACGCCGTGCCGTTATTGAAAGGCCCAATTTCGCCGCTAGTCCTTCCGGGTATACCTTGCAAGCCTCGCTGCTGCCAGTTCTGCGTTCCCTGAGGGACGGTTCCCATCAGGCTCTGAAGCCGTGGTGCTTGCGGCCTGGGTAAGACCTGGCCCACCGCTCCTTTCATCTGCTGTTGATGCTGGGGAAGAGCAGAGTTTACGAGCATGTTCTGACCAAAACTGCTGACCATTCCCACCACTTGTCCAGAGGCAGTCTGCCTCGTTCCCTGGCCTGCGTTATGCGCCATGTTCATGCTGCTTTGGTTTGGGTGCTGCAACATTTGGCTCATCCCTGTGCTCATGCTGTACATTCCCGGCTGGCTGGAGGAGGCGTTGCTGTAAGGAGCCATGCCCAGGTCTGACTGGCCCACCGTGGTGGGCAGCGTGCTCGGGTTCTGGGAGGGACCCATTGCCATCATGCTCGTGCTCTGGGCCATCATTCGGGACGTCCTCATGCTCTGGAGCGCTGCTTGGTTTCTTGCAGCTGCTATGTCCTGGGGAGAACCTGTGCCAGAAAGGGAGCAAGGTGAGAAAAAACATGATCCTGTAAATCTTACACAAATCAACACGTCTGTGCTGACAAGAGAATCTGTAGGAGCCTCCTGCACGACAGCGGGATTTCAGTTTGCTGTGCTTTTCCAGTGAATAAATTACTGTTTCACATGAAGGCTGGCAGAGAACTAGAAGGTTACCTGTCCTTGGGAGACGTACTTGCAGCCTAATGGTAGCCGCATCTCAGAGGTGATGCGTTCTGCGCACTGCTGTGACTGCAGCCTTGGCGCTGCCCTGCCAAATCCCCACTTCTCAGAGCTGAGAGGCAGCACAGCTGAGTGCTGCCCCAACCAGGAATCACTGATCGAGTTACGTATTGCATTTGTGAAGTGGGACACCGCTCCGCAGAGCGCTGTCGATACAGGCCAGCAGCTTCATTTCCCATCAGGCCTGAAGCAAGGCTGGCAAGGTGAAAAGGCCAACAGGTTACTCACTAAGTAATTTTCAATTATGACAGCCTGGGGATTTGTACCCAAAGGGATCTGTGGCTTTGGATTTTTGCAGCAGTGTGATTCCTTCCACGTGTGACGTGCCATTACAGCCACGGTTACTTCCCTGCTAACGAGCTGCTCATGCTGCACAGCCGCTGGGGCAGCGGGGCTAACACAGGCCCATCTTTCCGTTACTTTGCTGTGGCCAACAAGTAGTTATTTCTGCACTGACCTAGGAGGAAAAGCCTTCTTTCAAAAGTAAAATCTTTTTTTTTTGTTTGCGTGCCATTTTCCACAGGCCCGGGGATGATGCTCGCCCCGCTCCGTGCACTAGTTACTCCCTCAGACTTGTGAAAGCTGCACAGCACTGTGATCAGAAGTACTTAACCTTCTTCAGATACACCTGGTTCAGCTTCTAGCAAGCAGATGAGAATGCTTCCACTGGCCTTCAATTGAAACCAAAAGCTGAACTCGAGTTATCTGCTTGAAGCTCCCTTTTAAATATCTCCATTGTCTTTCAGAAGTAAGCCTTGAAAATGGAAATGTCAGACTCAGAAGACCAATCAATGTTTTAATAGCTCAGGAGGCATAAATGAATGGATTTTCTTTACCATTGTTACTGATTAAGTCTATGGAAAGAAGAAAAATTGTTTTTTTGTGGACATTTAAAGCAAGGAAAGTGTATTAGTGAATCAATATGATAAGCACATTTTAGTCCTCCTTAGGCCGGTGATGGGAAACCAGAAAATCCTAACCTTGTTAAATTCCACACCGTGGCAGAGAACTGGACCGCGCTCGTGTCCCTTTGAGGGGTGGGGGAGCTATTGATTTTTGGGAAGCCAATACGCTGCTGTATTTACTATCTTTATTTAAAAACAATTACCGGAGCTCTGATTGTGCCACGGGTTCACTGTGGTTTTGAGTCAATACCGCACCGAACGAAATAAAACCCTCGGCAGGCAGAGCTCCGGGAGCAAGATGCTCACAATTACTCCAGCTCAAATATCTCTAAATGCGAGAAAAAAAGTTGCTCTAAGAGTCATAAATTGTACAACAAAATCAGGATGCTCTTAAATCAGCCCCTACCTGATGTCTCTCGGCGGCAGACAACGTACCTAAATGTCTGTGGAGACCAGAGAATGGTAGGCCCTGCTATTTCTGTTGGCCACATTCCCATGAGAAATGGCTATGAACAACTGAAGTGTCGCTCCCATAGCGACACACGCGATGCAGCAAATGCCTGCATCTCTTTTTCCCTGCAGCGGGACAAGCTTCAGGAGGATGCTCGTAGCTGAGCTCTCCAACATATACATAAACGGAGCATCCAGTAGCCTGAAGAGAGTCCATCTGGACCTTACTTGCAGAGGGCAAATGTACCAGCAGCTTTTACTTCATCCACGCTACCAATTAAACTGTTTTTTTCAGTGACTGGCACTCGGGTCCCCTTGAGGCTTTTTTTAAAATGTAGGCCATCTCCTTCCTCCACGGTTGCAAGATACCTCTTCCTACAGCCATTCCAGCCATTGCTGACGAGGACAGTAATGCTAAAAACCTGTAGTGCACCTCTTGCCATCTATGAACTGCAAACAGCAGCTGCAAACTTCCAAAGGAGTCAGCAGAACTGAGTGGCTCACTCCTTGCCTCTGGGAGCTGCTGCGCCTGGCGGGAGAGGCAGGGCTTCAGGCAAGCAGCAGTTAAAGGGGAGATGCAGCAGATTTGAAGATTTTGGGCCATCTTCCGGTCTCCGTCCCACATAACCCACTGCACTGGATTACAGTATTGTGACTAAACAGAAAAAAAAAAAGGTGCAATATTTATATTTAAATTGGCTCATTTATGAAAATGAATTCCTCGCTCTGTCACATTAGCCTAAACTCTCTTTTGCATTTCTTTTAAATCATACATACGAAGGCAAGGTTTCAAAAAAGCATTGACACAGAAAAGACTTTACATACGCTTCTCAAATAATGCGTGAGAGTGCACACATACATTTTGATTTTGCAAACAAGTTATTGGGAAAGAATTCACTTCGTACAGAATTAATGCTGCCAAAATCGAGAATGGGGAGGCAATTAGAAAGAGCCACACTGCTGTCTGTCAGCAGAAGCTTTGGCTGTCTGCTCGCTTCCTGAGTACCAGAACTGCAGTGTGCTCGCCTGCCTCGTTTCTGTCGCAGTTTTGTGACACTGTGGTGGATATGCAACACAAGGACATGCTGGTTCTATGTATATTCAGAATCCACGGCTAGCGAAGGCATTCGAGCCGATGAACTGCACTAAAAAAGCTCAGAATGAACCTTTTTCCTAAACCAAAACGAGTACCCTCATATTCCCCAATCATTAGTGAGCACAGCAAAATAATCCCTGTTTTGTGAGCTCATTGCAGAAATCTCCATTTTCACCTCCGATATTTCACTATACTTCTCACACCTGACTCCTGTCAGACACTACTGCTGGTCCTTCCCCAGATGAAGATGACCTCTGTGAAATTCCCTGCTCATCAAATTAAATAAAGTAGGACATGAAGAAGAGTAAAACCAGGATACAGCGAGAGATGCTGGCTGGAAAAAAAAAAGAACGATGAGAGTGAAGGCAAACATGATGAATCCACTGAACCCAGGAATCAAGCAGGCAAAACACATGTCAAATACAGAATACAGCTTTGGCTGAGTGAAACAAAAGGAAACACGACCGAACATTCCAAGCTGGGCATTCCCCTTTAGTGAAGTCTATGGTACGTGCAAGTGTACAACAGCCCACCTTACTATTCTGCCACACTGCTTAGCTCCTTGCATTCACAAAATGCAGATTTTCCTACGCCTGCTCCGGAGGCGTATTTTGTCTCCACAACAGGAAAAAGAATGTGACTTTTACCTTGGAACTGATTGACCTGTGGCACTGGATATGGGCTCCGCTGTTGCTGCAGATGCTGCCGAGGCAAATGTGACTGCTGCTGCAACTGCTGAAAATGAATGAGGGAAAGAAAGCAGAAGTGAAAAAGATGATTAATTAATTAGTGAGCTGGAAAGAGGCTGGTGACAAAAGTGCTGCAGCAGAACTGCAGCGTTCCTTATCTAGCAAGCTGTTTTGGAGAGACAAGTAGAGACATTTGAAGAATCCTCCTGAGAGTACTTGGGCTACTCAACACACAGACTCCTTCTGCTTCAGAAAGGAGTAAGCACTGAGGCTAACATCACCTCTCCTCATTTACAAGCACTTCATCTTGACCTCTAAGCAGCAAACTGAACTGTCCTCGGGCTGGATGGGAAGGGAGAGATCTGAGATACCTCTTCTCACCCAGCTCTGAGCGCTGCTGTATGCGCACACCCTTTCCCTCCCCCAGCTCTGACAAGACCTATATATATAGACAGGAATACATATATTTTAATATATGTGTATATAAATGAATATATTTTACCATACATATAATTAATATATATATTCCTATATGTATAGTCCTTGTGCAAGACTGCAGCCCACCTCTGCACAACCAAAGCGCCCAGCTGCAAGGGACAGTGCCTCCTAATCTGAGCCCTGTATCCCAAGACCATTGCCTAGCCAGACCAGAAACAGCTACTAAGGCACATTTCCTCTTCCTCATGCTATCCGGGGAGCTGGCCATCACAAAATGCCCCCGACCCTTAGTCCAGCCCATGCTGGTCCTCTGTGCTTTTTTTTTCTGTGGATACTCAGGCATCCAAAACAGAATCAAGGGTTGATTATAAAAACAGAGAGCATGTCTATCAGAGCTTTCAAGGCCCTGGATATACTTGACTGAGCAGTTACTACAGTGACACTTCTCGTTGCTTCATCTGCACCGGTACAGATGCTTTGTCACAAACCAGGGCTGAGGAACAAAGGAAAGAGAATGGCAAAGACAGAAAGGAAGCAAATACTAATCCTGATGTTTATAAATGCACATGACGTATGATAAAAAAGATCAAGGGAACTTTATTAGGCCCAAAGCACTCACGAGCTAGGAGCTTATGGGCTGTGCCTTTTAGCCTTGCCTTCAGCATCCAAGTCAGTGACTGGCTCTTGGGTTTATACAAGTGAATTGGCCTGGTCCACGCAGAGGGAATATTAATGTGTCACTGCTCTACACTTGTTCCCTCTGAAACCATTCATGCATCTTCATAGGATCACAGAATCACAGAATGGTTTAGGTTGGAAGGGCCCTTTAAGATCATCTAGTTCCAATCCCCCTGCTACAGGCAGGGACACCTCCTTCTAGACCAGGTTGCTTATAGCCTCATTCAGCCTGACCTTGAACACCTGCAGGGAGGGAGCATCCACAGCCTCACTGGGCAACCTGTTCCAGTGTCTCGTCACTCTAAAAGAAAGACTTTCTTCCTAGCGTCTAGTCTAAATTTACCCTCTTCCATCAGTAACCATCAGTACTTCTGTGGTTATACGGCATGCACAAGTTCTAACTCAAAGTGGCACCCAGGTCTTAAACTGTATTTCCCCTAGCAAGAGAGACACTGCTGAGCTTAGACTCACCTATCAGAACATTTTCTAGGTGAAGCAGGGGACTGCAAGTTTAACTGAGGTGTGAGCTTGCAGTAACTGAACAGTGTGACTTTCTGCTGGCTTTTCTGTTGGGTTTCCTTTAAATTGCATCTGAATTAAACACGCATAAGACAAGACCATTTAGACCAGGTAACGTAATGTCTGTACTGTAAAAGTGTAGAGCTATGGGAATTGGTGTCAGGCTTGAATGTCACAGCTTCACACTGCCACTGCTGGGGTTGTGCCACTGCTCCCCGACTTCAGCCCGCAGTTCCCAACCTCTCCCTGAGGCTAGCATGACTGCTTGCAGTGTTTGTGTGATAAAACAGAGTAAAGAACTGATCTGGGAGATCAGAGAGAAAACTGCTGAAGGTGAAAGGAAGGGCTGTGCTGCACTGTCTGTAGCACTTTCCGTCTCACACCAGCTGCAGAACCTGAGACAAACAGACACCGTACCTGCTCTGCTAAGATCTGCTGCTGTTGCTGCCTCTGCTCTCTTAGGAACTGCTGCTTCTGCTGCTCTATCACGTGCAGCTGGGCTCTCTGCTCGATCAGCATCTGCTTCATGATGGCCGCTTGCGGCTGGTTGCCCAGGAAGGCCCCCCCTGAGCTCGTGCCTGTGACCACGCTGCTGGCTCCTGGTGGGACAGAGGGCTGCATAGGTGCTGTGCTCCGGGACAGTCCCACCTGGTGCTGCTCCTGTGTGGAGAGAGGGAGAAGGGCTCGTTACTGAGGGTGCTCTGCGTGTAGGGAAGCTAGGGCTCATTAACACTGAGCGCCGGGGCTGTGGGCGAGGGCTGGAGCTTGGAGAAAGCGGGAAAACTGGGCAAATGCTGGTGTCTTGTGGCCTCAATGTCTGCTGCAGGGACACGGGCAGGTTTCTCGCACCAGAACCTGGAGCTCCAGGCCCCCTCTGATAAGGCAGGAGCACTTCACGACTCATCAGTGGTAAGAAAAGAAAACGGGGTGTGAGGTTTATTTGCGCTCAAGATAAGCAATCTCTGAGCAATGGGCTCAGGAGCCAGCGTTTGAGGCGCACAGAGAAGAACACCGTGAGCCAGCAGCCCTCATTTCCACTGTACTGCACCAGAATCTCAGGATTTAACCACATCACACGTTTATCCGAGACTCCATCCCACCAGGACAAAGAGCTTGTAGCTGGAAGGATGCGGGCCACGTGATGCCACAGAAACCTATTCCTAACATCACCCTGCTCTCCCCCGCCATCAGACCCCATCTCCTCCGCACCTCCCCGCGGTGCTGCTGGGAGCGGCGAGTTGCCAGCAGGGGCCGCTGCCCGCCCGCTGCCACGGCTCGGCTCGGCTCGGCTCGGCTCGGCTCGGCTCGGCTGGGCACCGAGCGCCGAGGCCAGGCCAGGAGCGCTGCCATGGCCCGCGCTCCCGTACCCAGGAGCTGCGAGCTGCCAGCAGCAGAGGTGGAGGGTTCCTCTTACCACGTAATGCCGTGGTGTGGGGCGAACTCGCTGGCAGGGAAAAGCAAACTATTCTTCAGCCAGGAAACAAGAAGAAATCCAATTTGCTCACATCTCCACTTTACACAGAGCGTCCCTGAAGGGCTCTCTGCTGAAAGGCAGCTTCTCAGCGTTGAGCTTCTGTCTCTGTTGAACTCGTGCCCCGGTTTGACAGTTCCCCGCTGCTCCCCGCTCCCTTCTCACACAGCACCTCACCGCCTGCTCCAACATCTCCTAGCTCAGGGACATGAGGTAAGGGCTCCATCCTGCCCCCCTGCCCTCCCCTCACCCCACTGAAGTCATCGAGCTGAAGATTGCATAACTGATGCACAGAGCTATCTTGTGTTACACTGGGAGACGGGCCAACTGCTTCCATTTATAGACAACAGCAATGCCACGCTGCCAAAGAACCTTTGCTGCAGCTACAACAAGGGAAAGGCGGAAAGGAAAACCAGGAGCCAGAAGGCTCGCTGTGCTGTAACATCAGCAGGAGCTGCCCCGCGCCCTTGGGGCCGCAGCCCACTTCAACACAGTCTCACAGCAGAGCGGCCATCCGGCGCTCACACACACCGAGGGCGCAGTGCCCCACGGCAGCAGCGTGCAGAGGGGCTCAGGGCCGTATTGCCTTAGGGCTGCAGAAGGCAGAGAGCTCTGCAAGACACCCCTGCAGCTGACAGCCCGCACAGCAGCTGGAGGAAATGTGAAGATTAGCACCAAGGTGTTACTTCCAGGGCTGTGTGTTCGGCCATTTCTAGGCGCAGGACTTTGCCTATTCGTAATGAAAACTTCCTGCTTCCAGCTTTAATAACAGATTTAAAGCCAGGCCTTTTTCATCAAGCCAGAACACCACTCCCCCCCCCCCCCCCCGCTTTCCATCTTTTTTGGCCAAAGCTCTTCTCAAAACAGTGATGAAAGGCCCCGCTGACATCACCAGGAGCAGCGCAGGGCTGTGTGTCCTGAAGCAGGAGCAGGGCAGCAGGGCCCCGCCAGCTCTTCCGCACGAGCACCTCTGCAGTGGGCGCTGCTGCACCAAGCGTGCCCACTTCCCAGATCATCCATCCTGACCCTGCTCTTTGCTCTCCTCTCTCTGGCAACTGGCACCGCTGCCTTGCTACCCTCCGAACACCCCCACCAGTCCCAGGGAAGCGACGCCTGTTGGCCCCTTCCTGCAGTATGACTCAGAGTGTGACTCAGGCTGCCGTGACTCCAGACAGATTTTTGGGGATGCACAGCAGCGAGGGGACAGCCCCGCTCCTTCCCCCGGGCCTGTGTCACTTGTGCGCCTGTGTGTGGGGGTGCCCTGCATGGCAGTACATACGTATGCACGAGGGTGGACTACTGTGGGGACCCAGCTGCCTTGGCAGTGCCTGAGAGGGAGCTGCCCGCTGCTGGCAATTGGTCCTTGGTTAAGCACAAATCTCATGTTCTTCAAATGTATTTCTGGGGATCAGCCGGAGTGATGGATCCTTCTCAGGAGTTTGGGGTGATGCGTGTGTATGTACGGTTATGCACATTTAACATCAGTGGAACTGAAAGCAATGGTAAAGTGAAGCAGTGGATGGAACCTGAGCTTGCTGTGCATTCTGCGTGATGTGAACTAATGCAATCCTTCAATGCGCAAGCAGCAACAGAGCAAACAGAAGCCAGAAGGTGGCTTATCCTGCGTACTGCATTAGAGGAACGACACTAGAAAGATGTGTGCAATCAGATGTCTACATTTTCAAGTCAGAGCACAAAAAGAAGAAACAAAAATGATTTCAGGCAGAAAGTGCCTTCCAGTGAAGGACTTCAAGAGCTCAATCATTCAGCTTACCACAAAGAAAACAGAGATGCTTTGACCACGGCGTGTAAAAACACCTTCACGAGGGAACGAATCTTTTAAAGAGCCCTTTTATCCACTGAAGGCGGCAAAACCAGATACAAGGGCTGGAAGCCAAAGACGGATTCAAATCAGAAAGAAGAATCAAATTCTTAGGCCATGATTTCATTACCCAGCAGAAATGGCAAGTCTCTGCTGTTTGATGCCTCCTAAGACAAAAGCCTTTCCGGGTAAACACAACTATGTACTGCAACCTACAGGTCTGTGATGGACAAGGCGCTGCTGACCTCACCTCCACGCACTCTGAGCTTCTGCTTGCTGGCAGCAAAAATGTTACTAGATTTCTGTACACTCCATCACAAGAAAACTTACTGCATACCCAGTGTTTCTGGAGTAACCTACAAACACGTTCCTGTATTCCCCCAGAAATACTTCTATTAAATTCCTGTACTGTTGTCACTTTCTGTGTCTGGCAGGGATCTTAATCCCTGTCTAAATCTGGCTGCCCAAGCGCAGCCACCTTCAGCAGATAGGTGCCATCTGACTGACTGAGGGAGTTACAAATCCATTCACTTCTGACTTTGCCTCACATGAGCCAGCATGCAGGACGAAGGGACGGGCCAAACTGCTTTGTGACTGCACCCACCAGCAGACCGCCTCACCCTCATCCTCTGTCATCCATCCCAGGGAGGGGCTACAAACCTCTCCTCTCCCTGGGTCCCCGGTTGCCATGGCCTTTCAAATAGTATCTGAGCGAACAAGATCACTCTGACGTTTGATGCCAGACCTCTGCATGCAGCCCATTTGTTTTCCTTTCACCTCCCTTCCCCTGCGTCTCTCCTCCCCCCGTTTTCGATACGCTTTGCTCTTGCCGCAGAACAAACAGTATCTGCCAGACTATCACTTCGGTGTACGTGTTAGCTCATCAGAGGGACTAAGTTCTTTATTTCTAGCAACAAAGTACACAACAAAGGATCTGAAAATGAGCAAGTGTTTTCCTAACACCGTTTAGGGGCTAAAGACTTATGCAGGCCCTCAGCAGCGCCCACACGGCCACCACAGCCTGCAATCCTGCTTGGGAGTAGCGTCACGGTGTGTCCCTGCTGCCCCACATGGGCATAGAGCTCCCTCAGGAGCCAGTGCTCGTGGCTGTGGTTGGGAGCAATGCAGCGATGGCTGCGCTGACCCCAAGGCCAGAGCCTGTTGGAAATGGCAGCACTAAAGGTTTTAGCTTTAATCAATGCCCGCTTCGAGTCCATCTGGAGCAGAAGGGAGGAGAGCTAATGCGAAACACAAGGATAATTATGGCTAGAGAGCCCTTGAGAAGGGGGAGAGAAGAAAAATGGAAGATGAAAGCAGGCAAACGGTTTAAACAAACAGTCACACAGGGCCAATGAAAAGGGGAAACAGAGGGAAAATGACACAATAAAAATAAATGCTGTAAGAGAATAGCACATACAGAGACTGAGAAAACACAGATATAAGGAAAAGATGCTCTAAAGAAGTTTTCAAGCAGCAAACGCTAAACCGCAACCCGGCTGTCCCTTCTGCTCCGATGTCCCCAGCCCACGTCACATTATCACCTCGCACCCCACAGAGGCATTTCACAGCCCAGCTCCAGCTCATGCCTGGCAGGAGCTGCCTGGTGGCTCTTCTAGATGCTTGCAGAGTTTGGTTGTTTTTGTTTTCCTCTTGGTGAAATTTTGCTCGTTCTCCCCTCAGCTGTTTTGTTTGAGGATAAACAAAGGTATTTTTTCACGCTTAAGGACATTTCTCAGATCCTTTCCTCTGTGCTGTGATAAATGAGATCTCTTTCATTTTTAGCAAAAACAAACTTGGCACTGGTGTTGATCCTCAGCAAGAAGCATGTAATTTGCCAAGCCCAAACGAATCCTGGCTGAGAAATAAACACACCGGGCCATATGCTCTCCTTCCCCTACACAGAAGGCAACTTACCTCAAAAATTGGTAAGAGGCTGCAGTTGCCCCATGTTGTTGTTCTGCCAAGGCAAAAAGAAATCCTCAGAGAACTTCAGCGCAAAGGTTTGGGGCTCTCACAAAATCTCTCCTGCATCTTCCCCACCCTGTAGGTGACTCTCTGGCTTTGCGTTTGCACAAATGGGGTCAGGGAGTGCATATGCTCACAGTACCGCTGCATTATCCTTATCAGTATTTCCTGGCACTGCTTCATTTGCAAGTGAACAACCCACACAGCCCAACTGTTCCTTCTGCAGCCCCCTCCCCGTCTCATTCACAGCGTGCCCACATGGCAGCAAGATCACATCCCGTAAGGGCCTCAATGAAGCAAGGACCCTTTTCAGTTCCCCCTTGCTTCGCTGAATCGCTATGGGAAAAGCCACGTATGTAGGAAACACAGAAACAGCCCACCAGCTTTCAGTGGATTTAAGCA